GGCACATTCTTATTCACGCCAGGCATCAATGAACAAACGTGTGTCAGCCTATATATGTCGATATCCTGATTGGTTGTTAAGATATCCGCATGCAAAGATGTAGTAGCTAAGGGCCTGATTACATGAAGAAGTTCAGCCCGGGCTGAAATTTCAGCCCGGCTAGGGGGGCTGAAATTTTGTTGCGATTACATGACGAATTTCAGCCCGGGCTGAATTGCAGCCCGGGCTGAATCCTTCTCCATGTAATCGCCAATTTGATTTCATGAGAATTTGTTTCAGAAGCCGGGCTGAAACAGCCCGGCTAACCAGGCTGAAATTTCAGCCCGGGCTGAAATTCGCCATGTAATCAGGCCCTAAGAATGTGTGCGACGAGTCGAGACGCCATGGAAAAACTCAAAAGCGAAGTTACTCAAAATTAGGCTTGTTCACTGAATGCAGTTGCATGGTTCCAGTTGAAGTCTCTTGGGTCAATAAATAGAAGTGCGAATACGAGATTGCGTACGACTACGTCGACCACTACGTTTCAAACCTAGTGCTTTTACATCTACACGGTGTCTAATCCTGTACCGATAGTCTCCTATTCATATGCTCAGAGAGCAGTTAATTAGGACTCTGCGGAAACGTGCGTAGCTGGACTGAATTTCAAAAGGCGTGCTAGTTTAGTTTTGTTATTAGTAGGTTCCTAACATGAGCCTAATGCAACGTTCTAGTTGAGTGCTACATAAACTAATGCGGTACTATGCAGTTGACGTGCAATTTAGTCAAGTTGATAGATTGCCAGACAAATTAATCTTTTCGGAATGGTCAGGAATGGTTCTTAATGATTTGGCTGAGTGCATACACCAAAATAAAGTCTGGAGTGAGAGTAATATATAATGAGACCCAAGCTGAAATTAAGCAAAAATAAAATTACGTGCTATCTTTCTTGTTTTCTAAAGTCAGAGCCGTGGGCATTGAATTTTGCAACGGAGAAATTTGTAACTTCAAGAGTGCGTCCAGATAAGCAGATGAAACATTATCGTAGCATCAACTAAAATTGCATGGATACATATTGTTCTCCCTTGGAGCGGCTTCAATGAAATCAAAAAATAAAAATAAAAATGTATAACTTATATATAGCTTGTGTCACGATATGGCCACCTAAAAATGCAGAACGCCAGATTTCAAACTTTCTTCGATGATAAGCATAAGACATTGACTTACACATGACATTATTCATTGTACCTCGCGTACAGTCATAGAATCTTTTACTTTAACACAGATGAAAAAAAATATTACGCTGATCTTATGTGTACTCACTTGTTGGAGCTGNTATCGGAATAGTCAGTCATTATAGATTATTTGCTCCTTTCTGTTAAGGTAAGGGTAAAGGTAATGTTATGATAGGCCAAACCCTACATGACATGCTATGCCCGTGCCGTGCCATCCCATGCCATGCCATGCTGTGCCTTGTCGTGCTTTAATGATCCCTCCAACATTTTCCTCGAAACTTGATCGATTGTTGGGTTGCATGTTTTTGGTAACATAGGATACTCTAGGTGCACGGCAATGGTTTATTATACTCTGGAAAACGAACCCAGTCATATCTTCTCACTCTGTGTGCGAGCTGTCATATCAATATTTTAAAAAAAGCAACACGCAATATGATATCGAGGATAAGTAACATAACACGTGACCATCTCTGAACGTGGGTCGTCCGCTGTCTTCGCATTCGGTAGCATGGCGGCCTTTCCGACATCGGCAAGTTAGCTGGCAAATCAGGTGAGCAACAGATAAATAACCTGTGGCCTGGCCGCTTTGTTTAAGACAAAATGTATGAGGAAACGAACAAGGAATATTCCACAATAATGCTAATGNTGAGCAACAGATAAATAACCTGTGGCCTGGCCGCTTTGTTTAAGACAAAATGTATGAGGAAACGAACAAGGAATATTCCACAATAATGCTAATGTTGGTGAAAGATGACCGCGGAAAAGCGACTGAGTGACACTCAGTATGTTTTTAGATGACACGTTGTCACGTATTAGGCGAAAAACAGTCTTTAGCCTCTATCTGTGTTTTTTACCCAGTCTGCAGTCTGCATTTTGTACCTAGTTTGCATTTTGTACCCGGTCTGCAGTCTACATTTTGTACTGGCCGATTGGGGTAGCATGTGATAATATCGATTCGATTTTCTCCCCAGACGCTATTTCATGCTTTGTTTATCCCAGTACCATATTGGACTCTGGGGCACAGCCGGTAGAAACTCACGTTTACAACCATAACACTTCCCTCACATTCCCCCAAATTGTTCCCTTTTCTTTTCCTTTGTCCACCATATTGAATTCTTAGACGGGTTACCGCTGTAAACTCGTTCCAAGACTCCCGTTCCCGGTTCCTCGTCCCCGTTCCTCGTTACCAGTTTTACTAACATCCCTTCTTTTCCCCGAACATTTGAAGGATTAGTTAGAAAAAACGGATAACAAAATTCCGCAAAAGACTAAGAGAAGGCGGGTCAAACACGGTTTCTTGACTTCAAAAACTCGAAGTTGTCGAAAAAACTGATCACCGCCTGCAGAACTGCGAATTCTAATTTCATTTAGAATTCTACTAAAGCAATGAAAGTTCAGAGTCGGTCTTTGGCCTCATCAAATATCACCTCCTAGTATAAATCTACGAGCATTCTATCACCAATGCCGTTCTCTTATTGGCTAAGCTGTTAACTATCTATCTTTTTGTATAAGTGAGAAGCCCAGCTGTATGCGGCTATTAACAAAATGGCGTCCGCTTCTCCACGTTTTCGAAGTGTCGTCAAGAGGATTTAGATTATTCGCTCCAGATTTCTATGAAATACAAATCTCGCGCTCATAATCTATTGGTTATTTAGAAATCTGGAGCTCATAATCTAATTGTTCATTACAGAAATGCGTACGTAGATAAGGGGACAAGGAGCAATGTGTAAAGAAGCAACTTACCTGCAGTAGATTGCACTGGAGTCTCTGAAACTTAAGGTAAAGACGAAAAGGACAACACAAATTATTAACGTTTTTTGATATAAAATTTGGAGTATATTAGGTGTCACAACCATAAAACGTAATAATGAGAGCAAATTAACAGGTAGAAAGATGTCATTCTGTAGAGCTCACCGAAAACCGAAGAAACACGATACGACAACTTTATTTACTTTACATTATATAATCGCAGGAGGAGTTGATATGCTCGTTTGTGTTGCCTAGTTTTATTACCGGAAAAGCGTTTAATGTATGCGGCATTAACAACTCGAATGCCACAGCGTGATTAAAAATAAACTTAGCCAAAAGTAGTCGCTGTTTCTGAACAATATAACTAGAGATCACTGCTGATAAAGAATGCTACGAGTTTGATTTACGCGAAACAATTATTGCTAAACACTTGACCACTTGTACACAAAGTTGTGTCAATTAACTCGGCCGCAACTTGGCTTTCATTACAGTGCACGGCATCGATAACCTTATATTTGATTGCATATGGAAGTTAAACAATCCAAAACTCAGAAAAGCGACTATAATTAAGAATAAGAACGAGGGGGTACTTAATATGTTGCATCAAAGATAGTCTGGGTAAAGAACTTGTGGGCTAACGATAAAAGACCATGGAAATTTATCCCACTATCCTTGCTTTCCAATGTTGGCGGCAACCTTCTTTTTCGGTGTAACTATGACATCCAATATCTACCCCTGAATGAAAACTAATCACAATTCTACCGAGATATAATTTCCCATTGGGAGAAAATTAATAGCACTAACCCGAAAACAAAGGGAGACGAGCCAAATCAAATAATATGGAATAATCAGTTTATTCCCCTCTCTCTCGTGCCTTTTCGACAACGAAAGTAGCACATTGATGCCTATTAATATTAAAACTTTCATGTAGAAATACAACGTTAAGAGTAATTTTCTACACTATTACAGCCCTCTGTCTGCATACCACAGAAATAGAAAAGTATTTTAGAGCAAGGATGTCTTCTACCCTCAACAGAATACGTGCCACTTGCAATAGAAAAGCTTACGTGCGAAACAATTTACAATACATTTCTCAATCACCAGCACTTCCCTCCTCCAACTGCAGAGAGAAGACTCACTGAACACGGCTTTATCTTTCAAGAAAGACAATTATTATTATAAATCTATTTACTTCCTTTTCGTGTCACAAACGGAGTAAAAATATCCGTGTTTCAACGACAAATAGTTCATAATATCCTGTATACAAATACAATTCTGTACAAGATGAAAAAGAAGCAGCAACCCAAATGTCCTTATTGCCATGACATTGATCAGACACCACTCTATTTATTTTTGGAATGTCCAATTGCTAAATCCCTTTGGAATAGCTGGTTTTCACATGACGTCGCCAACATTCGACCTACAAAACTATCAATCTTCCTGAGATTTTACTTAAATGAGGTATAAGAGCAGCTGAAAACTAATATTCATACCAATTTTCGCTCCGAATGGGTTCTTGGTTTTGTGATACACTGCGCTTGAATATATAAGCTTTTGCGTGACGTGGCATTTACATGACGGCCGAGAGAGCTGTCATGATGGTTAAAAAGTGACTTATTTCGGGGAAATAGGCTATCTGAACAGTTCATGTCTTAGAAAAAGTATTATTTTAATGTTTTAGAGCTCCTCGAGGGATAAATTTACGCATTTGTAGCAAAACTCAGTGACAGATGTTTCTGTTGGTTTCCGGCCGCTATGTTGGTGCCCATACGGATGGGCACCAGCATGGCGTCTCCATACAAATCTCTATAAATTTGGGTAAAAAATTTCTCCGCATATCTCGCATAAGGAAAATTGCTGTGACCTGAATCTTGGCGAGAGTCTTTGCATATTTACCTTCTTTCATCTACCAGATTCTGGACTTTATCTATTGACCGGTTTTGATTTTGATTTTGATCTATTTTGAATTGCGTGACACTGAAAACCAGCAATAAACTTACAAAGTGGTACAACGCTACATGTAGAGGAAACATTGCTTTGGAGCAAAACAAAATTATCTATGGTGCTTTAAAACACACATCGTGCGGTTTAACCATAAATCACCTGATCATAATTGGGAGATATTTTCTTTACAAAACTCAGTACAACATGAAACAAGACCCCTGTTCACAGATTTCGTAACCCTCGTCAATGAAAGAATTGAAAAATAAATAGCGATTACGACAAATAAACTACTATCTTTTACTTAAAACAGGTCCAACGTTTTACTGTGAAAGTCAAAAAACCGTGAACACTTTAATTTTACTTGAACTTGTCGATCGTGTAGCCACCAATCAGATGCTTGAAGAACCACAAAAAAGCAAACTGGCTGTAAACTAATCTCTTTCGATACGCATACTTACAAGACATGTAAGATGTCGAAGATGTGGTGCTGCAGGGACAATAACATACAGAGGAGCTCAAAGAGGCAGAGGCACTACTTGTATTGGTTGCAGCGGTCGTTAAGCTGTCGGAGAATGGAGAACTCTGGTCAGAAGTGCTGGATGTAATGATTGCACTACTCGTTGAATGATGTATCAACGGACTACTTTGTGATGTAGTGGTTGTAGTGGTCGTTAAGATGTAGGAAGATGGAGGACTCTGGTCAGAGGTGCTGAATGTACTGATTGTACTACTCGTTGAATGATATAGCGACGAAGTACTTTGTGATTTCGTTGAAGTAGAACCACAAGGACAAATACAAAGAGGGGTGGCATCACTCATACTGAAAGAAGCTAAAAAGAACACAAAATGCAATTTAACACTAAGTGTGATGAGTAATTCTGTTCTAAAGAAATTTTTATAAAGTGAGGAGAAAAGGGAGAAACGAAGAAGGTTAACGACTATCTCATTGACGAGGAAACGTTCTGACTCAAACACGTCGACGAACTGAAAGAGATGAAATCACCCTGACTGGTCAATCCCGGGTGGGGGGGGGGGGG